TATATGTTTACAATTTTTTAACTCTCTTGGAAAGAAGTTTTGTAATATATATAAACAGCTTTCAAATATTTATTCCTGGATCAAGTAAATTTTTAGATAGCTGTTCTAAAGAAACAAACTTCTTTTTCTTTTTTTTTAAGTTTATTTATTTATTTTGAGAGAGAGAGAGAGGTAGAGAGAGAATGAGAGAGAGAATCCCAAGCAAGCTCCACACTGTCAGGACAGAGCCCTATGTGAGGATCAAACTCACAGACTGTGAGATCATGACTTGAGCCAAAATCGAGTCAGACGCTTAACCGACTGAGCCACCCAGGTACCCCAAAACAGACAAACTTCTAAAAATTTTTTCTGTATCTGGGATAGTTGGTAACACTATAATATTATTTAGATGCAGTCAGGGATCTTTTGTTGTTCACCATTAAATTCTCAGGACCATGCACAATGCCTGGCACACAAAACATACTCAATAAATATTGTTAAATGAATGCATTGATAATTAAATGGGGATAAGTCATTAACTTGTCTTGCCCTCAATTTTCTCTTCTGTAAAATGAGACCAATAAAAAATAACCCTTGGAATATTTGAAAGAAAATAGTTAGAGTGGGTGCTGTGATTTGCCTCCTAGATCTCCTTTATAGAATGAAGAACGCATTCCTCCAGCTGTTGGGAGTGTTGATAGCTGACAGCCTTAAGCTGAGTCCCACTTTTTGATTTGTCTTAGTTTCAGAGAGCCACCTAGCCCAAGGTCATGCTCCATTCCCAGGGTGTCCCATACCCAACCACTATCTGGCAAAACATATAAAGGCTCAGCCCCCATGCCCCAACTCAGAACAACAATGATGAGGCATTTTAGCTCTAGAGCTTTCCATAGGATCAACTGGGGCATTCACTGGAACTGCACTGTAATTCAACTTCTTGGTCTGGCCACTTCTGCTTCTTGCCCCTCCCTTCCCCAGGTGTTGATCCCAAGAGCAAGGCCTAATAAATCTTCTGCATGTTAATTTCTGTCCCAGCATCTGGTTCCCCAGGAATCCAACCAGAGACGTCAGAACATAGTATATGCTAAGTAAAACACTGTGTCTGGCAGTCAAAGTGAGGCAAGGATCCCCTGCAACACCTGGTTATTTATTTATTTTGAGAGCGAGTGAGCGTGAGTTGAGGAGGGGCGGAGAGAGAATCCCAAGCAGGCTCCACAGTATCCGTGCAGAGCCCGATACGGGGCTAAAACTCTCGAACCATGAGTCTCGAATCAAAGTCAACGCTTAACCAGCTGAGCCACCCAGGTGCCTGGAGTGCTGACAGTCCTAATAAAAGTGTTTTCTGTTACACTGTTGTGGATGATGTCAGGGAAGGAGGTGCAGCTGTGGCCCGTGGACCTGCATCTGTTCTAGTCAGTCTAGAGGTATCCCTCACTTTTCAAAGTTTTGCGTGGAGCCACTTTGCTTTTATGAAATGCCTACATCAGGATTTGCCTTTGCTAACTGAAAGAAATCTGAACAGGACTTTTGCTTTTTTGAAAAAAGTCAGAAAGGAAAAATAGCGTTCACCATTTGTTTTGCAGAGAGCCGTTAGAGGCAGAGCACATCCTGAGAGCAGCGAAAGCGGCCCGCCAAGCTCCTTCCCCCAGAACTACTCTCAGCAACTCCACATCAGGCCCCCAGAGCTTTCAACTACATCTGTGAGCATCTGTGCCTTATCTTGATTTATTTTGTGCACCTGTTAGCAAGATGTGTCCTAAGGTATCAGGCCTAAGAGAGATGATTTGGGGGGTCTGGGAATGCTCAACAATTTCTCTGTGTACATGAATGATAATTGCTTCTTTGCTTACAAAAGGAGAGAACACCCTACTTGTGGATAGTGGGCCACGTCTGTAGTGTCCTAGTTAAGAGAGTGGACTTTGGGATCAGACAGCCCTGAGTGCTGGGAAGTGACCACAGAGGCGTAGGGAGCTGGGCTATGATCACGTGGGGGATGGAAAATCTCTGTGGTGGACACAGAGCTGCATGGTCCAAGGAAGGACTTTGTACTACAGCCGTCGACTTGGTTGGGGTTTGCCTCAGCGACAGGGAGTGCCCTCAGCCCAAGAGCGCACACACCCTTGCCTTTGCAAAGGCAGAGAGAAAGGGGAATGTGTTCCCAATCATTCCAGCCCAACGCAGGACCACTCCGAGCTCTGCCTGGGAGGGGGGCCGCCTGGGATTTTGTCCAGCCTGCATCACGGCTCAGCATGTCCCTGTGTCCAGCCCCACCCCCCACACCCCCACCCCCTGCCTTCTTCAGCTGAGGGGTCCATCCCTCCAAAATAGCCTTTACCCTAAACTCCATCTCGGGGGGCTGCTCCTGAGACTGTGGCCCGCGACAAAGTCTGAAAGCAGAATTAAAGGGTACGTCTTCAGGCCCCACCCCTCAGCCCCCCTCCACACTTCCTTTGTTTCATCCTTTTATCTTTCAATCTTATCCCTTTGTCTCTGTTTTGTACTCTCCCTATTCAGAGCCTTTCGTTTTAATGGCCTGTTGTACACAGCTTGTCCACGAGCTGTCAGGTCGTGGCAGAAGCCTATTTAGACAAGTTGTCAGGTTGAACGGGAGAGGAAAAAAAAATCCTAAATCAATGTGTTTTCGCATGCAATCACACGTGGGCTAATTTATCTGCAGCCGCGTTCTACCCCGCCAGTTTGGCATAAGGGTCCTCAGACAAGGGGGCTGCGTGTTGGCTGATTAACAGAGCGATTTTTATTGGGAGAAGGACAACAGAATTGTTTTATGGTAATTATCACCATTTGAACCTGCGTACACGCTCATGGGGAAGATTAAAGAAAAGGCTCTGTACGGATGATGAAGCAACTCGCAACACGCGCAGGCTAGAGGGTTAGAACTATTTAGAATATTAACGTCCTCCACCTTGTGAAAAGCCCCTGGGAGGCGCCAGATTGGCTAACTTTGTAAATAGCCCTTGCGCCTTGTCTGTAGGCCTGAACGCAAGTCCGTTCCGTTTCTGGAGTTGGGAAAACATCAGGGCAGGTTACTAGGAGGACTTGCCGAGAGGTAACCGCCAAGTCCATTTCAAGGCCCAGGACAGAGCCAGTCTTTCTGAAGGCGCGGAACTAGGTAGGCCACAAAACATCCTCACTTACTCTTCACAGAAATGAAAAAACAAATGCAAAAAACCACAGGAGAAAACACACACACACACACACACACACACACACACACACACCCATATACTCATGCTCACACTCACACAGAGGAGAGATTTTTTTAGAGAGTGTTGTGGCTGTGGTGGTTTTAAACTTGAAACGTGCCACAAACTACAAAAACGCTTCCCAGGTGAATTGAAAACTCCAACTGGGGAAAATACAGACTTTGGTTATTTGCTTCTTTGGTACTTGATAATTCTCTTTGCGTTTTTTTGGTCCACTCCCACTGTCATATCTGAGTTTAGGACAAGGACAGAGTGAGATAAGTCTGACACCGCAAGGCACAACACACAAGCACAGAGCTGTAAAAATGGTTTGCTGCCTGGAATATGGCTGCTTGAAAGGTTTGCGCTGTGTGATGAACTTAAAAGAATCTTGCCTAAATTGTTACGAACAAACCCTTTTGGGTCTGTATCCAGCTCTCTTCCTCCCCTCCACTCCCCCCCCTCTCCCCTGACAAACAAATGAAAAGTCTGGAAACTCCCACCCAATTAAGAAATGCTTGCCCCAGAATGGAACATTAGAAAGTTGAGCTGCTAAGAGCAATTTAGAGCCCGCAGCCAGGCTTCCATTCTGCTGCCATTTCTAGAATGTCTTAGAAAGACAGATTTTATAATTGAGAATTAAAACATTTGACATGCAAATGTAAGAGTTAATTTTTCCCCTTTGTGAGGCCACTGAAAATTTTTGCTAAGGGAGAGAAAATCAATTCTCCATTAAAAAGATGCTCAGATGAAACAAGGCATTGCCATTCGGGTTGTAATTATGGATTCCGAGAGATGAGGCTGGCATTGGGATATGGAACCAGACATCTCTCAGCTGCAGTTTCACACCTGAGCTCTGCGTGTGTGTGTGTGTGTGTGTGTGTGTGTGTGTGTGTGTGTGTGTGTCTTTAATCATCAGCTGATTTCTCTCGATTTGCTGTCGTTTTCTAGAAAACGAATTTTGGTCTCCATTTGATTTCTCTCAAAATCACAACAGATCGTTTCTTGATTCACCAAGTTAGATGGGGGATAGCCAGCAAGTGTCAGGCCCTGGGCTAGACACAGGAAACAGAGCTAAAGGCACAGTCTTTGCTCTCAAATTGCACACAGTCTACTGGAGGAGTGGCCAAATGCTTATCGCTGGGCAGTGTGAGGGTGAGAGCAAACACATTGACAGTGCCAGTAGTCTAGAAGATCGTTTGATCCTCATGACAACCTGGCGAGGTGGGTAACATTACCACCCCCAGTTTTCACATGGGGAAACTAAGAGGCACAGAGAGCTTACGTTATTTGCCAAAAATAATGGAGCTAGTAAGTGGCAGAGCCAGAATGCAAACCCACACAGACAGGTTCAAAGTGTGTGCTCTTCACCTTGACACTGGGGATGTGGCAGCCAACTGGGGTTGTGTGGGAATGAGGTAGGCTTGGGATGGGGAAGGGTCAAGGAAAGTGCTTCAGAAGAGATGATAGAAAGGCCTTAAAAATGCTTCTACTGGCCATGTCAGGATGAATCTGCATGGAAACCTAATCAAGTCAGAAAGTTACAGTAAAGAGAGAGATACCTTTGAGGACATGGCTTCATGGAAGAAGGGTCCACGGTGTTCTAGGATGACAGTGCTGTAGGGCAGAGTTTCTGTAGGTATTGTCTTGGGACCTTTGTGCTCTCTGAGATGATAATGGGCAGTCTGCCAACAGGGTTCCAGGATCAAATAAGTTTGGGTTTCTTTACCTCATATTTGCAAGACTGTTTAGATGCTCGTGGGTCCTGTGAAGCTCCAAGAAGGGAACAGAACTTGAGCACACGTTCTTTCTTCTTAGAAAGCCCTATGGAGATCTCCTGGCACAAGAGGGTCCCAGAGAACACAGTCTGGGAAATGATGTCTTCCAGGAGGCATGGAAGGGCTGAAGCTGGCTGGAACTCTGAGGCCTGCCCTTGGCAGCATGGTAAGCCCTCCACTGGATGGCGGGTGGTGGGTGGTGGTCTCGGTGTTGGGTTCATTCTATGCTGTCGGTGATGCAGCCTTTGTCTGATCACTTGAGCCCTTTCCCTGGATCCTTGCTCCTTTGGTGCCTGGTTTCCTCCTCAAGGTTATGGCCTCCTGCTTCAGTTCACCTTCCAGGACCTGTGAAGTAAGCCTGTTACTCCAGCAGGAGCTGACTTTTCTGGACTTGGCCTTTGAACATGGAGAACCTGTTAACCTTCAAGTTGACTTAACTTCTCCTGCTGGTTTCTCTTAACTAAATCTGCCCTTCCCTTCCCTCCTCCTTTTCTTTCTCCCTCCCTCCCTTCACCCTTCCCTCCTTCAACATTTATTATGTAAAGTCTATGGCAGCCACAGAGTTACAGGTTTTAGTGCAGTTGTTCATGACTTCTGGTTCATATCAAAGTTCTGAACCAACTGGTCAGTCTCCAGGCATGTGCCTGCCCCTGTCACTGGTGCATTGAGGGGACATAGTTACTGTAAGGGGCATGTGTCTGGGGCCTTGTGGAAGCCTAGATAGGTCTTTCACCTATGCTTTATGTGATGAATAGCATTGTGTGTAGGTACAAACTTGGATTTGTAAAATAGGTCTTAATTTATACAGAATTAACATTGCTTTTGGCATTATGTATTTTAAAAAGTGTTAAAGACTTGATTTTTAAGTAATCTCCACACCCAACGTGGGGCTCAAACTTACAACCATGAGAGCAAGAGTGTCATACTCTACCGACTGAGCCAGCCAAGTGCCCCCTGTCATTATGTATTTTTAATCAGTACATACTAGAAGTACTATTATCTTACTGGTATCTATGGATTTTTTTTAATGTTGAGACGGAGTCCTTTATCCTACCCAAATCTCAGGCTTTGGAATCAGCCAGACTTGGGCTCAAATCCCATTTCTGTTATATATTAGCTGAGTGACTCTGGGCAAGTTGCTTAACTTTTAAAACCTTAATTTCCTTTCCTGAAAATGGGAATCATCATACCTGCTTTGTGGGTTTCCATGGAGATGAAATGACGTGATGAATGTTAATCATCTAACAGATTGCCTAATCGCTCAACAAATGGACATCGTTATGACAAAATAGAAAGGAGTAGAAAGAGGAGGTGATTGGGGAGGGTGACATAAAGACACTAACCGTGAGCTGGGCAGGAATAATAGGGGCTGGAAACACCCACCAAGAGAGGTTAAAAACCATCTTCTCTGCCATTACCAATCTCCCACTAGATCTTGGACTCTACTGGTTTAGCATAAAAACCCATTAATGGAAAGAACAGCCAACATACTGCCAAGGAGATTGGTGGGAGACAGGGAGGTGGGTGGCACCCAGTGATTAGCAGTGACCTCCAGGGGCAGAGGCAGTGTCCAGAGGCAGCAGTGGGTGGGATTCTCACACCAGGCTGGTCTGGCACCATGACCCTGTCTGTGCTGGTGGTCACCAGCTTCTTCATCTCCTCGCGTTTTTGTCAGGTTTGTGGGCGAACCGATATCCTACCAACAAATTCTCCCTCACCTTCAGTTAGGTAGGGTCGGTTTCTGGTGTTTGTAACCAAGAGAGTCGCCTAGTACATCCATGATGTAGACTCGATCTCATCTGGCTGGTCTCAGATGCGCAGGCTCCAGATTTGATGACCAACCCAGAAACTTTCGATGCAGCCCCATTCACATTGCAGAGACCCTGCGAATGATGTTCTCTCCTGGTTTCACTGTCTGTCTCCCAGGATGCTTGGTGGCAGAAGATCGATCACGCGTCACTTCTCTGTCCCTCCGTGTCCGACTGTTTCTAGCTATTGACGGGGGAAGGCAGTGGAGGAATGGCTGCAAAGGCTGACTAGGGCCATATACAGCGAGGTGTTGGCTGGTGGCTCTGTCCCACTGCTGTGACACCTTTGCAGGGCCACTTCATCCCAGAGATGACAGCAGTTCAACCCACACACAGGGTAGAGGATAACGCTGACTCTCGCTCCTGACCTCTCCTCCCTCCCCACACATGCTGTACCCTAGCAGTCAGCCCTCCAGGGTGACCTATGGATGTCCCATCCCCTGGCACACACACCATTGTTTGTTGTGGGAAAGGACTGCTTTAAAATCCCAGTCTCCCTGAAAGTGCTCCCCGGATCCCAGACGCCTGCAAAGCGCTCCCGTTTTGTTTTCGCATTTCAGATGTTAATTATAAGGAAGAGAATTAGGCATATAAAACAAATTACATTGGCAGGCGTTTGCTTCACTTGTGCACCACGGGGCCCAGGCGCCCCTAATGAGATGTGACTACAGATCATCGTGCTTCCTGCAAACAGCCAATTGCTTCTAATGTGGCAGAGTCTTCCTTGTGTTGCCTGAGAATTAGCCACAGGTGTAGTATTTGACATCCTCAAGCATCACCCGCCCAGGGAAGTGTGGTTAGGTCAACAGCAGCAAGAAGAAGGCAGGGAGAGAGAGACAGGCAGACACCCAAGGTTTTAGAGCTTCCTCGTGATTTACATTAGGGCTCCTCCTCCAGCCACCAAGGCTGCCCCAAATTAATGCACAATCCAAGGAAAAACAGTGTCTCTCTGTCCTTTCTGTAGAAAGCAATTCTGCAGCTGTGACAAGATGCAGGCAGCGAGTGCTGTCTTTTCTCAGTGCTTAATAATATTAATGTCCCCTGCGAAGAACAAACAGGCATTCTACCATGGGTCGAAAACTGTTTGTGGGCTTAATTGGAAAACATTACTTAATGTTTCCCTTAATTAGAATTAATTACAAGACCCTAGTGAAGAAATAACTCCATATGTAAGATTCTAAGACCTCGCACTGTGATGTGAAATTTCCCTTAGAGAGTTTGCCCCATCAGAAGTACCTCTGCTAACCTATAGAATATGTATACCCAGATATCTGGGTTCCTCGTGAGCACCAATCTTCCAATGGTGCCAAGGTCAGCACAAATAACATTGGCTTATTGGTCAACAAAAGGCAGAAATATGATAATGAGTCCAAGGAGCCTGGGTAGGGATGCGGTGTGACCTCTTGGGCCATTTGCGAATGGAAGGGGCTTGGAGTTTTCTCAAGTTCTTCTAGCTCAAACACTCTGGGTTTCTCATTTCCCAGCCCCAAGATTCTGTCTTAAAGTTGCTAACTGTAAGACACAGAATTGAAACAAAAGGCAGACTTTCCGAACTAAAGAATGAGACTGTCCCAGAGAAGTGATCTTGCCTGGATATTCAGCTCGGTTTAGGGATAGTCAATGTATCTACCTACGGAAGTAAATTTTTTTTTTTTTTACAGAAGCACCAAACAATTCTTGGGATGCCTGGGTGGCTCAGTCAATTATGTGACCTGCTCTTGGTTTTGGCCCAGGTCATGATCTCACTGTTTGTGAGTTCCAGCCCCGCAATGGGCTCCATGCTGACAGTGCAGAGCCTGCTTGGGATTCTCTCTCTCTCTCTCTCTCTCTCTCTCTCTCTCTCTCTCTCTCTCTGTGTGTGTGTGTGTGTGTATCTCTGTCTCTCTCTGTCCTTCCCCTGCTCTCTCTCTCTCTCTCTCTCTCTCTAAATAAATGGGTAAAATTAAAAAGAGAAAAGAAGCAACGAAGCAATTCTTAAGCTAAGTCATATGTGCAGTTCCTTTGAAAACAACCAGTTAGCAACTCATGACTACATCCTAGTTTGGATGAATCAAGCCGTATTTTGCAAAACTGTACGTGCATGTAGATACAGCCATTGTGTGCTGTAAGAGTCTCCCCAACCATTTTCTGAGGACTAGAAGTGCCCTGTGATTTCTAAGTGTGGGTGCAATGGAGAAGAGGGTAGGTCTACAATTAAGTTAGCTTTGGAAACGCTGAATCAAATAAAGTTACACAAGTTACTTCATAACAGGATCCTCAGAGCCTTTGTCTTGCCAGGGGGCTTTGTGACTTTTCTGGGACATACAGTTTGCAGTATGATCTCATGTAACTTTGGAATTTCCTTTCTATTGGCATGTTAACAATTCATGAAAGACCAGTGTTCTGCAGAATTAGTTTAACATGCATGTGGAACACTTTATTTTAATATTTTGGCTGTAAGTCCATGCTGAACAAGCTTAGAAGAAAGAATAAGCTAAGAAAATATAGAAAACTGTGGACTTGGATAAATTTCCTTAGTGATAGGATTCAAATCAGTATATGAAAGAATTTACCATTAAGAATCAGAATAATTGTTAAGTGAGATGAAGTACAATCAATTTCTTATAAGTGGCGAGTGTAAAACCCAATGATATGTTAAATTTGATCTCTTTAAAAGAGGTACAGTTCTTTTTTGCTCTTAGAAGATTTTCAAGTTCTATTATTTAAAGGGTTATAGAAAAGATGGATGATTAACAGGGATTTTATTTTTCCACTTTATTTTTTTAACGTCTATTTTTGAGAGAGCAAGAGATAGAGCACCAGCAGGGGAGGTGCAGAGAGAGAGGGAGACACAGAGTCAAAAGCAAGCTCCGGGCTCCAAGCTGACAGCACAGAACCCGACACGGGGCTAGAACCCGACCCGGGGCTCCAACCCATGAACTGTGAGATCATGACCTGAGCCAAAGTTGGATGCTTAACCGACTGAACCAGCCAGGTGCCCCTATTATTCCACATTAAGAGCTAGGGAATCCAAATCTATTAACATAAACACGAAATTCTAGTTTCGTTGTGCTAAGAAAAGAGTAGTGGGTAAATTTCTAAGTGCACGAAGGGAATTGTGGCTATAACATTCTTGTTATTATTAATGTGTGTTGGGTATGATTTGCCCAAGGAGAATCTGTTTTGTAAATGACCATTAAATAGAGCTTCCTCTAGAGTACAAAGATGACCCTTTAGGATGTAGTTAACAAGGCAGTGAATAAAGGTGTACAAGTCAGAAGTTCCCAGAATAAGGGGATTTCTTTTTTTTTTTTTTTAACATTTTTATTTTATTTTTGAGAGACAGAGTGCAAGTGGAGGAGAGACAGAGAGAGAGATA